GATCAATTCTCCTACTGCACATCCGCCTATCGTATCTTGTCTGCTCTCCTCGGAGGATGGCACACTTATGTTGATCTCCTTCTCAGTTTTGTAATTGTGTTGTCAGAATAGATGTGAAGACAGAACTGGCATATGGGCTTGTAGCAAGGCTTAGTCACCATCTTTGTATCAGTGCTGTGTTCTCTGTTGTGTGTCAATAGTTGCTTGAGATTGAGGTGCGGGTAGTATCTGTAAGGAAATACAGCCACCAAGAGCTTGAGAGAGTGAAGTATTCTAGTCAAGAATGGATTGAAGATTGTTTATGATGCACATGAATGGGTGTGGGCTGAAGTTGATAACTAGTGATGTTTGATTGTTTTCTGGGCCTGTCTTGCAGCAGGTTGCTTCCGGATATTCATCTTGCCCAGTTAATTTGTTCTTTAACCACCTTGGATGGGTATTGTAGAATGAGAAATGCCTTTTGTAGATCCTTGAGTTTGGAGTCTTTATCTTGTGTGACTGAGCAGATCCTATTATATATAAGGATTTGGGTTCGACAATAGATTTTGTGGTGCGCTCTGGATGGAAACTGGACGTAAGCAAGTAGATATATAGATCAGTTGGTTTTTGTTATAGCATGGTGGTCAGATGTCTGTGTTGCAGATTGGTCCAGGCTGTGGTTGATGTTAGGATGAAAGTTATTTATTTATTTATAAATAAATATTTATAACTAACAAACTAACTAAATTAATTATTTATTTTATATGCTTATATACCGCTTGATTTACTGACATGCATTATTCAGAATTATCATAAAAGAAAAGTTTAAAATATAAGTCCAAGTTGAATTTCTCCAGAATTTCTTTTCCATGGATTCAGATAATAAAAATGTCATCCTATGCATCTCAAATAGAGAAAGTGCATCCCTCTCTTATGTTCTCTCTTAAGTCTGAGGAAGTGGATTTGATCCACAAAAGATCATATGAAAACATAGCCGTTAGTTTATGGTGCCACAACGTTTTGGTCTTCTTTATTTTTTGTTTTTCTTTATATTTTCTTTTTCATTTGTTTTTGCCTGATAATCAAATAGAGGAATGGGTTTGTTTGTGTGTATGTGTGTGTGTGTGTGTGTGTGTGTGTGTGTGTGTGTACAACTGTTAAAAAAGCATTGTTTCAGCTCAGCCATGAATATATTTGCATACTGTGGGGCCAGATGTGTCCCTGTTGGAGAAACTTTTTTTTTGTCAAAGATGAAACACTTGTATGTGAGCACCAAGTCACAAAAGGTAGTTACCTGGGTGGGCTGTGTCCTCATCTTGAATGGTATTCTTGATGTCCTGTAGACCATCTCTGTGTAGGATGTTTGTGTAGAGCTTCTATGTCCATCATGGTCAGGATGGTGTTTTCAGGAAAGGACATGAGTGGATTGAAGTTTCTTTAGAAAGTCTGTGGTGTCTCTTATGTAGCTAGGTGCATTGGTGGCATATCGTTTGAGGATGGGGTCCAAGTGTCCAGAGACCTCAACAGTGATGGTATTGATGTTTGTAAGAGGTGCCAGGGGAAAAAAAAATCTTTTGAAATGTGGTGCTGGAGGAGAGCTTTGTGGATACCCTGGACTGCTGGAAAGACAAACAAGTGGGTCCTAGATCAGATTAAGCCTGAACTAACTCTGGAGGTAAAAATATTGAAACTGAGGCTGTCCAGCTTTGGGCATATAATGAGAAGGCAGGATTCTCCAGAAAAGAGAGTAGTGCTGGGAAAGGTGGAAGGCAGCAGGAAAAGAGGAAAACCAAATATGACTCTCTATAAAGGAACCGCAAAGTTGAGTTTATAGGCGCTGAGAAGAGCACCTGAGGCCAGTCTGGAAATCACTCATTCATAGGGTCACTATAAGTTGGAGTAGAAAAGCATCAGATTGAAAGGAGTACTACAACCTGCCAGGTGTTTCCTCCTCGATACTTGAAGGGATTTTGAAAAAAATAATTATTTCTGAAAAATAACGAGGACAAAAAACAGCTGTAGGAAATCCAGGGAGCGAGAGGAGAAAGCAGTTGTAACAAGTCTGAAAACTGTTTGGGAGATCTTTTCTGCTTGAATTCAGGCTGTGTTGAGGTAATCTGAAGAGGAAATTTATGGCAAATACGTGTTTTTTTGTTGTTGCAAGATTAAATATCCAGTTAAGACTTACCTGGAAACGGCCTGAAAAATACAGTATATTTATTAAGGATCTACCACTCTTTTTTGTACTTTTCTTCAGCTCCCCCTGTGCTGTTCTACTTCGTTCCATCTCCACAGGCTGCTTTTCTTTTAAAAAACTATTTTTAGATCAGTGATCAGTACCTAGTAGTCCTCCATGTTTTATGGACTGCAGTCCCATCATTCTTCACGGTTGGTTATGCTGGCCAAGACTGATGGAGCAGCAGTCCAACAACATCTGGTCAGTTGTCTTGTCACACATTCCTCACTCCTGGCTCACAGGAATGGTTATATAGGGAACCATTTATTATAACAATTTTAATGGCTACTGACTCTTTCCTGGTCGAGGTCCACCTTTTTATAGGTCTTGACCTATACAGCTGTAAACAGCATGGGTTCTCACTCTCTGAAGGGTTGCATCTGCCCATTTGGACCTCCCTGGGTTTTAAGGTCTTCAGGAGAGGCAACCCTCTCTGTCCCATAAGCATATATGTTGTGGACATGAGAGAGGGCCTTTTCAGTGGCTGCTTCCAGTATGTGGAACTCCCATCCATGCATGGTCAGGCTGGCCCCCTCCCTTCTGTCCTTCCACCACCAGACACCCTAGACTGCCACAAACACAAACATCTGGCAGGCTTTTAATCAGAAACTGGCTACAAAGGTTTTAATGGGGACATTATATTGTTTCCTTTTTGAAATGTGCTTATAAATTGTTTTAAACTGATTCTATCCAACAGTTCTAGTATGCAATATATTTAGTTGCTTTTTAATATTGGAATTTGTGGCATTTTAATAGTCAAAATGTGTTTTTTATAGCATTCCTCTTCCCAGGGGTGATGAAAACTGGATCATACTAAAGGGGTCTTTTCACATTTTATGAAGCCGCAAACCAGCTTTGGGCCCGATCACACCAGCCAGTTCTAATGATACTTTTCATATCTCTGTTGTACTGAATCACTGTCATGTGGTATATAAACCGGGGAGAACGTTCCCATTTGTTTTAACATTACTGATTTACTTCTTCCTATTTGAAAGGTTTTATCTGTGGTGCCAGAGGCTCTTAAAGAAATGGATTGCACACAGTGGGCCTGCCCCCGCATGCCAGACAGTAAGTGTTGTGATGTAACACCTTGGCATATGCAGTGGAGTTGTGGGATTTCCTCAACTGTAAAGCCATTGACATGCATTTGCCTACATATCAATATACCAGCTGCGAAAATTCTTTTAAAAAAAAAGAATCACAGAGCAGCTGCATGGCAATAATGGTGGCTGCTTTCCCTGGGGCAGTGGTCCCCAACCGTGGGCCTCCAGATGTTCTTGGACTACAACTCCCAGAAGCCTTCACAACCACATCTGCTGGCCAGGATTTCTGGGAGTTGAAGTCCATGAACATCTCGAGGCCCAATGTTGGGGACCACTGCCCTGGGGGACTCGTCATTGGAAAAGAACCTATAGGAATGTTCACACATGCAGCACTGGGGGCGGGGGATGATCTGATATGTCATCGGAACAAAATAGCGGTATATAAATTTCCCCTGGTAGGGGGGAAATAAACTGCAGATACACCGCTGGCCGGGAAAATGATTAGATCATGGCTGTGTGACCGGAAATCTGTGCAACATTCTAAGTGGGGTATAACAGGGGTACATTTGGCTGGTGTGCTCAGGCCCTTTGTTGCAAATGACACTCATTGCAATGCTGCGTCATTGGCTGGTTCTCTAATAATTCTGCTCGAAATATGTATTTTTCAACGCTTTTTTGGTCACATGCACATTTTATATTTTAGGGTATACTAATAATGTACCAAAACCTTTTGTCACATTCTAAGTGGGGTATAACAGGTGTACATTTGGCTGGTGTGCTCAGGCCCTTTGTTACAAATGACACTCAATGCAATGCTGCGTCATTGGCTGGTTCTCTAATAATTCTGCTCGAAATATGTATTTTTCAACGCTTTTTTGGTCACATGCACATTTTATATTTTAGGGTATACTAATAATGTACCAAAACCTTTTGTACGGCACAGGACAGTTAGAGTTTTTGGGTCTATCCCCCATGGATCTGTTTCAACAAGGAATTGCTGTGTGTTTTGCAGAAGCTGGGAACATAACTATTTTGGATTATAATTTACAGAGTTCTCCAGGGAATGTAGCTACTGGCTTGGGGATTCTTGAAATACTCATAAAAAAAATCTGTTTCTGGCTCTGGGGTAATTACTCGTTGTGCCTTTGTTTATGATGAATAGACTTTGCAGGCTTTTGTTTTGTTCCAAAATGCTGCCAAACTTGTTTGATCAGAGAAGGCTCCTGCTATGTGAAGGAAAGCCATTCTCAAATAATTTTAAATTCCTCTCTTTTCTCAATCTCTCTCTCTCTTTCTTTCTTTCTCCCTCCATCTTCCCTAAGTCACAGAAACATATCAAGCTTTCTTATATTGAGACTAATGGTCCAACTAGCCCAGAATTGTCATATGTCACTGGCAGAGTCTCTTGTTTTTTAAGCAGGATTTTTGTAGCCTTTTTGGGACATCCTTGGTCTTCCCTAGTGATCTTTTCCATTCAAGCACTAAAAAGATCTGCCATTTTTGGTTTGGTTCCTGAAATCATAGATGGGAGACGTGCCTGCTTCTTGAATCCACTTTTTGGTCTCATTTTGAAACATATCTGGATAACTGCTGGATAGTTCCCCACTGGTCTCCTTGATTGGGATTGGACTTGATGATCGATACAGTCCTTCCAGCTCTGCAGTTCTAAGATGATGATAATAATTATACAAAACACACAACGGGTGTTTTTCTTTTAAACTTTTTATTAATATTATCACTGATGTCATTTCAAAAATAAAATAATATAGATATATACATAAGTGCAATAAAAACACACGTACAAATACAAAAGTCATGATGATGTCAAGGGCTCCTTTGGTGTCATAGCACCAGTGTGTGGGCATAGCGCTTTGATCTCCCACTTTTCCTGCATATCTCAGGCAGGATTTTTCACAAGTGTACTGCCCAGTTCATCTGGAGACTTTGGCCAGAATCCTCTTGCATAACTGCACAACTGGTGCAACATTTGGAGGCAAATTGCCCCAAGTTAAGAAATCACAGTAAACATTAGCAGTTGCATGCTGAGTCAAATAATGCAGTTTGCAACTTCTAATGTCTACACTGATTTCTTAACTTGGGGCAATTTGCCTCCAAATGTTACACCATATGAGCTATACCAGCATAACCAGGTAAAAGGATTAGGGCCACAGATAACATGGGACACAGTGAAGATGAGTGTGGTACACTAGCACCCATGTGAATCTTGAAAAGAACTCCACATTTTATTCTCATTGTATCAGATCTACTTTGTGTTATCAACGCTCTTGTCTCAAACCCTGTTCTGAAATTCTGAGTACACAAAAGCAGGCCATGGAAGCAGAGCCTTACATATGCTATGTTGGTGTATCCCATACATTTCTGGAACAGATGTTTTCCTGAAAACATTCCTGCACCTGACCTAACTCCAGGGCCACAGACAGCTATGAGGAGAAAAGGGAAGAAGGGGCAAATATCCAGGGTAGGGGGCCTGAAACTGAAGAAGGTGTCAGATCAAAAAGACCTGTCTAAGAACATTTTCTGTGCTTTCCCCTGAAAGTACAGCGGGGGCAGGGAGGAAGGGACAGAGGGACGGGAAGGCTTGGCTCCTGCCGTAACTAGCTCCTCTCTGTGGTAGCTAAAGCTGCATCTGAGTCCACGCCACACCATGCCACTCCACTTCCGTCAGCATCTCATCACTTTTACGAGTGTCCCAACAGGAGTGGAGAGAACCCTCTCCCGCTTTCCCCTTTGTGCTCTTCCTACAGTTCCAATCCTGCCCTTAGCTGCAACCACAAGCATCCACGACCATGTCAGGAATGTCTGTCTTGATGAGGTTGCTGTTGGGGTCAAAGTAGAGGAGAGAAAGGGCCCGCCTTTGTGTGGGGACGCAGCAAGACCGGCCAGCAGTCCGGATGTTGTTGGCTTTGACCAAGTTGAAGACCGTTGTGTGGAAAGAGGCTGCTATACCAGGTGTGCCTGCCAGGTGCACAGGACATTCGCCCATGCAGTAGTTTATCTGATAACCCTCTGGCTTAAAGATCCAGTCATTCCAACCAATGTCCCGGAAGTCGACATAATAGTCCTTCCGGCAGCACACCTCAGAGTTCTGGTCACAGCTCAGACTGCGCTTGGTTACCTGGTGGCCAGGCTCCTGTACTTTGGCCTTCACCACCAGGAAGGGCTGGTAGGAGCTCCCTGCAGAGGTCAGCCAAACTGCAGCACTGGAAGGGCAGCCTTGGCACTCCAGCTCCAGACGCAGAGTCTTTTCTTCGTGCTCAAAGAAACTCTGAAGAGCTGGCATGAGGGAGAAAGGGTGCCAACCACTGCCCTTGCTACCCAGTTTCTGCTCCCCTAGGGCCACTCGCCGATCCCCTGCCAGATAGATCTGCAATGTGATGTTTTGGTGGGCCTTGAGATGGAGCCACAGCTGAGCCTCGAGAACGTGCATATCTTGGCCTTTTGGGTGAGTGAGCTGGAACTGCAGCAGTCCAGAAGGCTCTGTAGAGGAAGAAGCGGCAGAGATGAAAAATCACTAAACCTGGTCCACCTCAGAGCAATGAGCATGACGCCTAAGCCAGACTCCTTCAAATGCCTACAACGTGCTCATAAATCACCAGGTCCTCATGCTGTTTCTTTGCTACATTTGTCCCAGAGCATGGGAAATTTACCTTTTTGGACTACAGCTCCCATAATCTCCTGTCCATAATCCCATTTCTGGCATGACCATTCTTACATTCCAGGAACGTTGCATGTGAACTACCTTGCAACAGCATGCTAGCAAGCCTGATCATATATCCTTGTCAAAAAAAAAAAAAAGACACTTAAATCTAGCTGCTAGGCCTATGTTGAGTGTCTTCACAACACTTCTGTTCCATGTAGATTTCCACTGTGTAGCAGCTGCAAAGGTCACTGCATGGTAGAAGCAAACAACTGTGTGAATCGATTTACTTTATAAAATTCTACTGTGAGACCTGAGCATCATCCAACAAGGCCATGTTATGGCCAGTCACCTTTTGCCTGTAAGAAACGAGAAAGTCAAAATCCCATGAAAGCCCATTGTGAAGAATGGAGAACTACTTGAAGCTTTGATTTGCTACGTTCCCAAGTAAAGATTAGAGAAATGGGCACATCGTATGGATTAATTAAATACTGATTGAGCAACAAAGCCACACTGTGGTATGGACTATTCCTTCAGGGGAAGTATCAACTATTCTTTCTTGTCTCTTGTGCAACCCTTAAAGCTGGAGTGAGCATCTTATAAAGCAGCAGCTCCCATCAATTCTAGCCAGCACAGCCAAAGGTCAGGGATAATGAGTTTGGTAGTCCAACCACATCTGAAAGGCCACATGTTGCCCACCCTTGTGTTTAAGGCATAGAATTCCTGTGTGTAAAAAGATGAGGACCCTGTGCTACTCCACTGCCTCTATCCTATTGTGTAGATGCTTCTTATTATCCCAACCCACCTTGCATTTATTTTGGGCAAAGAGGACGGAACAGTGTAAAACACTAGCTGGGAAAAGGCAATGAATGTTTAAGGAAAGTTGACTTTCTGCTGTCAACTTGGTTAAAACTAGTTTTACAGGTATGAAAAAACACTGAAAATCTGTGAGAAAAGACAATAGTGGCAGGGTGTACATACTGCAGGCAACATCAATTCAAATCTAATAATAATAGCAATAATGAGGAGGAGGAGGATACTTTGTCTGCAGGGCAACATATACTACATAGCTCAATGTGGTGAGAAATACAGGAAGTCTTTCCATCCATGCTACGTGTATATATAAGCACTCCACCCATGACCCTCTTATTTTTCATTTGATATTTTTAATATTAGTACAGGAAGCTGCCTTAATAGCATCAGACCATTGGCCCATCTCTGCCAGTATTTTCTACAAAGACTGCAGCCAGTGGTGCCCTCGTTTCGCACAGGAACCTTCCCCAGCTGTACACTGGGAGACACCAGGGGCTGATCCTGGGACTTCCTACATGGAGCACATGTGCTCTATCACTGAGAGACAGTCCTTTTTGCTACACAGAATTTCCATGGGGATAAAACGGCTCCCAAAGAACTAACTACGTACTAACCACTACTCCCAAGCAACAGCTTTCTCCTGGGCAGAATGATATGGGTGCAGGGGGAGATGTATTCTGAACAGACTTAGGGTATGATCATGCAGGGAAGTAAGATCACACTTTGGTCCACTTGTGGTGCAGTCCAGTGTGATCTGTCTATCATAACATGCAGGGAAATGCACTCAAATCCCAATCTGTGCCCAAGCTGAACTTTTTACAGGGGACTGCTCCCATTGAGTGGCCCTTTGCAGCCTCATCCGGCAGGTACTTTTGCAGCCACCTGATCGCACCCTTCCTTCTCTCATACCTGAACATTCAAGCCCCAAGCCATGTGACTAGAAGAGCTACCAGAAGGGAGGAACTCACCTGTCTCTGCAAAACTAATGATCTCGTACCCCTGTTTATCAGTCTCGGGGCTCTCCCAGCTGGAAAAGCGCCCGGCCCCATCTGGCCGGCCTTTGCCCATGTGCAGGCGCCGCAGTGCGTTGGTCACGGCCACACGTGGCACTGGATGAGTGATGTTAGGCCTCTCCTTCAGGTTCAGTTTCTGCAAGATCTGCTGCTTGGCCACTTCTACCAGGAAGGCTTTCTCAGCGTTGGGCTCCAGAGGGGGCATCTTACAGGAAGGGCAGCCGGGCCGGCCCTCAACCCAGGCCAGAGAGGTCCATAGGAGGACCAGTGCGGCCAGGGGGGTACCCTTGCCCTGAAGACCGTAAGCAGGAGCCATAAAGGACCCAAGGGCTGAAGGCACCAGGATGGAGCTGGGAATGATGGGTTGCCACGAAGCAGAGTCTGCCGGAGCTCATAAACTGGGTCTCTGCCGGTCCTGAGGCGTGTGCATCTCTGGCAACGTGCCCTCGGTCCAGGAGAAGAGAAGGAACCCTTCTCAAGAAAAGGCCTCTTTTGCCTCCCCTGGGTCTTCCTTGCAGCCGAGTCCTGCTCTTCGGAGGCAGGCGAGTTTCTCCCTCAAGAGAGATCTCTCTCTGGGCACCGGCACACCGTGGCTGGCTGCGCTGGAGTGCCTCCCCAGCCAGGTGCCTCTGCCTTTGTCACTCAGGCTGCTCTGGCCCTGCCCTTTGCCCCCTCTCTGATTGGCCGGCCGGCCTGCAGAGCCCCGAGGGAGGGGGGCCTCCGGCTGGGGAGGGAAGGGAGGCTTGGCAAACGGATCATTTAAGGTCCTGGGGTGGGAATAGGTGGATGAGGAGAGGGAGCTCCCGCAGCCATGGTTTTTAAAAAAAGAGAGAGAAAAGGTAAGGTTTACACCAGCAGGTTTGGGGAGAAGAAGAGTGGCCCCAGATTGACCCAAGGCAGCTGAAAGGGCGAGGGACTTTGGGTGGGTGGGATGCTGGGCACAACAGGGTGGCCTCGGGTTTGAAATAAGCCCCGGAGATGTTGTGCTGGTGCGTAGTGTGGCAGTGGCAGCAGGTCAAGGATTCACCAGGCAATGTACAGTACTGTGTAAAAGACATTTTTAAAAAACTGGCAAAAATGCACGTTGTCGTTGTGTTTGCAGCAGACGGTAGTTTTGGGATCAGACACCAGCTCCTGGGAAGAAGGGTCAGAAAGCTGGTGCAGAGTGCCAGTTCTGATCCAGAGCACATTCTCAGTGGCCGGGTGGCCCTATGAAAAAGAAGAACCCCAAGCTTCATGACAAGCAGCACATACAGAAGGTCCTGTGTTTACAAGGGTATTAAAGAATTTGGAGCCCTGCCCCTTTTTTTTTTCTTTTCTTTTTTGGCGAAGCCACACTGATCGTGGCCCAATGGCTACATTTTTTTAAAAAAACTAAACAAATGCGGCCTGGTTTTAAGCTCTTTTAAGTGCAGCTGACATGATGCACAATTTGGCCAAGAGAGTACAGAAGTCAACTCCAGGTCCGAGTACAGCAGCCTTGTTAGGAACATAACTTTTATTTACTCTTTAATTATATCCATGTTAAGGGTTTATTTTTAAGATTTCTCTTGATTCTTTTAAATTGTACAGTATATTGCTCTGTAATATTTCAGAATTTAAGTGCTGTAGGTGAGTAGCAAACAAAATGGGTCAAACAACATCAACAGGACACCTAATTCATTGGCGTGCTAGCTAGGGTACCACTATATCTTATATAAATGTGTTTGTGTATTTCATAAGCATGTTTTTTAAATGCAAATAATCAATGGAAGATTTATTGCTAATGCAAATAACAGCAAAAGGGTTTAATATTTTTAGGATCACAACACTGACTGTTGCAAAACTGGCATTTCTCTATCACACACACAGAGATACACACATGCATATATGTACGTATATAATCATAATTAAGGCTCTGTCTGCAAGAAATATGTACCTGGGCAAAGGAATGAAGAGAATAATTGTTAGTCCACATTTCCACTCCATCAGCTTAGAGCTGAATTGAAGGAAATAATCAAAGCAAAAATCCCACACTTCTCCCTTGCCTCTTTAAGTCAGCTCTTTTGAGGAACTATGGCTGAGGGTGGGGGGAGTCATCCCAAGGTGCAGATAGAACCAGGGCTTGGAAAAGTTACTTTTTTGGAATTCAGCTGGCCCAGTGGCCATGCGAGTTTGGGGATTCGCAGGGGGCGGGGCTGTCATCTCAATACAGTAGCGTCTAGTCCAGCATCCTCTGCTCCGGCGCCATGTTGGCTGAGGACGACACAGGCTGTAGCTCAGCACCTCTACAACGCGTTGACTGGGAAAGGCTGCTCAGTTTGAACCAGTCTCATATAATATCCAACAGGCAGAGAAATGGCCCCAGCCAGTGGTAGCGTTGACGTCTGCCGATGTCTCCTGAAATGAACCATCTCTAGATTTCCTCCCCTTTCAAAAGCCACAAAGTTCTTATCAGCTTCTGATAAGTCCTTTGGTGATTATTAGCAAAGCTGAGGAGGAAATGTGCCTGTGAGAGCCAGAACGTTTCTCTTTCTGTGCCCTGACGTTCAGGCAGGTGCCACGTTCCTGCCCTTGCTCAGGGTTCCATCACTTTGAGACATCAGCCAAAAAACAACAACAAAAAACAAAAAACCTAACAACACTCTACCCTCGGGAAGAAATCTTGCTTAGGTGCTAAGGCCTTTCTGAGTTACAGCTTTTGCAGTTGAGTGCGGCCTTGGATGGCAGGCTCTAGCAGTTTTCATAACTGCTTTCTATACCTGTTAAGTCATTCTTCCTCTTTTCCCTCTACGTCTTCTTCTTTAGAAACTGCCCTGCCAGAGGTTGCCTATTCTGACCTTGAGTGTGTCAGCTCTAAACAAGGATGGCCATGTTGACCTCCAAACCAATCTCCAAGGTTCTTCAGACACATTGTTTTCTTCTTCTTCTTGGGACTTCCTTTCCCCCATTATTTTACATCGAATGATCAGGTGGAAGAACTGGCTCAATTTCACAACTGAAATAGGTAGTGTAAACTAAGGAGCCTGTTTAATGCCATTTCATTCACAGAATCCTAACTGCACATTTGCCTTACTTTGTCAATGAATTTAGCCCTCGGTCCAAGTCCTGTCAGGGTGTTAAGTTGCTGCCAGTTTGACCAGTAAGCGCTCAGAGGAACTAGTGTGCAGTGCTGCATTCTACTTGTCTGACTGTGGTAGTGAGATGATTTCCCCCATCCCATCCCATGGTGGGTGAAATTGATGATTCACCAACGGCAATAGAAATAGCATCAGTAAAAACACTGTTGGTGAGTTAGCTTACACACAAATGCACTGGAGCACATTTCGACACTAAAAAAAAGGAGGCTAATAGAACCTAGGTGGAAGCTAGCTGGTTCTGTGCCTAGGCCTACAACCCCACCAATATGGTACAAGGTGGTTTTCCAATCATATGCATCTTCAGACTTGGAAAATCCTTTTCAGGAAGAGCCAATATATGGAAAATGAAAGCCATTTATCACAGGGCCATCATGGGATGATGCTCTGGATTTTGAAACAGCATCCTACTCTTACTCCATTGTGGATTCATTCTTCTTAAAAGTAACTTTCCAAGCTAAATAGAATGACGACTTGTATACACAGAAAGAACCTAGCCAGTCCTGATACTCCCAGCCTAGGAAACTCTGAATAATGTATTTCCCTACATCCTGTCCCTAAAGGCAACAGAGGTGTAACACACCTGTTACACAAATCATACTCCCATTCTTTTGTACTAACAAACCATTAGTGCCATTCCGTGCTCAAGAGGTGTGGAACAGTGGCATAGGAATGGAATAAATAGGTCTTTGCCAGCCTTTCCTTGCTCCTCAGGGGAACAAAGAAAGCCACCACTGGCAAGAAGCAGTAAATGCATCTCCACAGAGGAGGAGAGATGTAGGAACCAATCATCATTATCACTTTTTAGTCCTCAGCATACAAAGGCATTAGATCAGTCAGTTCCAAGTATCTTCCAGATTTGGTAAACATTCTATGTCTACTTCTAATGCCCCATTTAGAATACATGGGTCTGTGAATCTTGTGCGTGAGGGAACAGTCTACAATCTGTTTCCAAGACTCAGTGCACGAACTCTAAAATCTTGGAAGCAGATTGGGAGGTTAACATTGTTTTGGAAACATTAACCTGCCCATGGTAAAGTTTTATTTGAAAAACAATTGTGTATGTGTGCATATCAGACCATAAAAGAAGAGGACTGTTGCTACGCAGAATCCACGAAGAATTTGGTTAAAAGTTTGGTTACAAGTTTAATGGAGCAAGGGTTGAACTGTTGTTATGTTTATTGATAATCAGGGCTATGCACTAGGTTTGGACAAATAGCAAATTCCAAACTGAACTGTCCTGATTTGAACCAATTCACAGGAGGTCCAGATTGAAGCAACATGGCCAGATAGGGTTCTGGGAAAATGCAAAGGAAATTTACAATGTGTCTAAAGCACTAATATAATAGAAAGAGCACAAATAAGTTCAGTCTTCCCCCCCCTTTTTTTTTCTTTTTTAAATAAGAAATTGAACGTGCCTAATACACAAACCCCAAAGGCTAGCTGCCTGGATTTGGCAGGTTCACCCCAAAGGGGAAGGTCTGTCATATTTCCAAACTTCATGCACAGTAGCGGGAAGACCAAAAAATTGTAGTCATCCTGGTTTTTCTATGAGTGTCCTTAAAATGCTTACAAATTGACTAGGATTGAGGGCAGAGATTGCTCTGACATAATCAGGATCCATTCAAAAGCCCGAAACTAACCACCCAGTCAGACTGAGGACCCATGCACAGTCTTATTCTCAACCATTAAAAAAAAATATCTATTGACCTTTTCTACAGATTCTTTAACCAGTCTTGCAAACAGTTCATTGAACGTTCAGATCAGAATGCTCTGTTCTTCTTTCAGCTTTTAAAGACGTGATAGTCAGACATAACTAGGACAAATATGAAGCTGTTAATAAGCATAATTCTACAGAGGCAAAAGGCTATAGGGCACGTTCAATTGTGCTGACTTTCCACACATGAAAACTATTTGGGGATTCACAATCTCTGAGAACTCACTGCCGTTATTGGTATACATGTTCTCTTGATATCCAGCTCTCTTCTGCTTTTGTGCCATTCCATCTAGCAAGCAAAGAGTGACAGTTTACCCAGCCTAGTCCTATATTTGGCCAAAATCCCTCCATTCAATCATCTGGAATTTTTTTTTCTGGCATCAGCCACAGATGGACATTCATAAACTATGGACAGAACTTTATTTCTTGCCCTCAGGAACTTCTTGGCTGTGTCTGTGGGTAAAATGTCACCAAGAAATACTACAGGCAGTGCCTTCTAGTGCTAGAACGGCACAGATTGCTGAGCCTTTAGGTTATGGTGTGGGAAGTGAATGTTCCATTATTCTATCCCATACATCGAGAATTTCATGCCAGGTATTGGAATTCACCATCTTGAGGATCTCCTGATTATCGTAGAAGTTCTCTTTGTCTCTACATCACAATTGCTTGGAAATTGCATTCGGATTGCGACTCTATTTTTGTCAACTTTCATTTTTGCTTCTCACTTGCTGCTAACAATTTTAAATGTTTCTTCAGTCATCTGTCTGGGATTTC